CTCACTCACTCACTCACTCACTCACTCACTCACTCACTCACTCACTCACTCACTCACTCACTCACTCACTCACTCACTCACTCACTATTATGACTAACAGGAAGATGACTGCATTGGTTGCTGCTGTGTCTCAGTGGAAGCTGTGTTTTCTGGGAGAACTTGAACCCTGGTGTGAGTCTCACCTTCATTACAAAGTGCTCCTTTGAATCCAGGCAGACAGTCACACTGTCCTGTAATGTGGTGGCACGGTCCATTACTGTGGACACACTGCGGACAGGTCTGACTGCAGCGGTGGCCAAAATAACCCGGTGAGCAGACTGCAGACAAAACACAGTTTACTGTTGTCGTTCTTCGGGTCGAGAAGCAGGGTTCTGATGTTCTGCGGTACTGATGAAGCTCTCACTCCTCTGGCAGGTGGTGCCTCTGTATCCTGGTGCACACTCACAGGTCCCTTCGTCAGGCGAGCAGGACGCGCCATTTTTACAGTTGCATGACAGGGAGCAGTTTGGGCCCCAGCGGCCCTCTGCACACACACTGTCACAGTGGATGCCTGCTCAAACACACAAACACACCACACAATTGCTGTTTTATCACTTTGCAGGGTACAACAGTGACTTCCATTTTGTTTTCTTAACCTTAAAGTGCCTGTCACATCAAATTTTTATTATAAATATAAATGCAAATGGAATGCAATATGATAAGAGTTTTCTTTCTTAAAGAGTTCCCCTTTGATGTCACTTCCTGTTTCATTCAGCAATGCCAAATTCAAAAGAAAACATTCATTATTTTAAAAAATGGGTAAAAATCATGTGCATTATGTCAAGTTTCTTAAATTTAAAGATGTTTTCTTTCTTTTTATATTTGAAGGATATGCGTGTCACAGCAACTTTAAATGCATCAAAAACAGATCTTACCCTGTCTTAAACTAATAGTGAATCAAAGACTGAACCAATTCAATATAATTTGTACTAGAAACTAGTTCAGACCCATTACCATTTTGCACATCGATTACTGTGGTTTTGTGGATGTACTTCCTAAATGGAAGAATGTGATGCTATTTTACTGTAGCTGTTGCCAAAACGGTTGAATACAACAACACAGTTGTTATAGCACTTTAACAGTGTCATCATTCATTTACTAAAAACAAACAAAAAAAGAAAGAAAGAAAGAACAATTTTAGACAACTTTATTTGGTAAATAGAATTTTGCAGATATTTATTTATGCTCCACTCTATTAGGGTTCCACCTACAGTGAATTCATCGAGCACAGCATTGTCACGTGTAAACACGTTTTGTTCATGTTGTTAACATTTCCTTCCCTTCCCATTTGAGCCTAAAAGATTTCAAACAGCAGGAAGTTGCCCTTTGACATCCTGCCCTGAGGGTTATCATGTGATCTTCTGCTTTGAACTCCTGGTATCTGAAGAATTGACCCACATTTTTCTCTAGGGTCTTTGTGGGACCCTCTGGTCTTTAGAGTCAAAAATACCTTAAATTCACAACAGCACTGAAACCATTACAATCAATTATTTCTCTAACATCTACCTTTATCTGTTCTGTTGCTTGCTGTCATTAATTTGACCATTCAGAATGACAACTGAGACTTTTAATGCCCTCATGGTTATTCGCAAGCAATGATGGGAAATATAGTGAATGGCTTTATAATCCCTACTAGACTGATGGGCCACAACAATTGCTTTTCTTTACTCTAGAGAAATAAACACACATCTGAATGCTATAGACCAGGGGTTCTTAACCTTTTTGACCTCGAGGCCCAATTTATTGAACATAAAGTGACACGAGACCCAGTCAGACATTACCAATGTACGGATCAAAATAATTATTCTAAATCTTGGTTTAATTTTTATTGTAT